AAGACGATGCACTCAAGAGCAAGACTAATCCAAACAGAAAAAAAATCAGTTATCTGTTTGGATTTTGTTTGTTTTCCGTATATTTTTCTTCATATATATATATATATATATATATATATATATATATATATATATATATATATGGAAAGGTCGAGATTTAGTGCAATTCGGGCACATGTAGAGAAATTCCGGGCTTGTTTTAATACAAGAGAAGCAGCAAAAACAGTCGGGTCAATAATCGCAGAACTCGATTCTCTAAAATAAATGTAGCAACATTCGAAAGTACTCGGGAAGAAAATAATATAAAAAATGAAAATAAATATTAACTTTAGTAAATTTAATAGAACACATATTTTCCCTATTTTTGAATTAGTTGTTTTGTGTTATTGGTAAATTTGCCAAAATTCATATTTATCTTCATTTCATATTATTTTTTCGCACCACCTTCTCTCGAAGGTTAACTTGTCATTTGTCAAAATTTAATGCAATTCGGGCACATGTAGAGAAACGTATGGTTAATAAACAAAACAATATTAACATTAGACAAATTTTAGTAGATAACACCAAAATTTTCTATAAGACACAATGCAAAGAAAGACACAAAATTCTGGACTTGTCTTAATACAAAAGAAACAGGCAACATGAAATGAGACATCTTTCTTCATAGAGGAGATCGGATATTGGGGTCTGTTAAGAAAAATACACCTAAAAAATAGAGTTTGACGGTTTAAATGAAGTTATCTTGAGTGACTTGAAATTGATTGCATTAAATTTGAGGAACGACGGAATTAAACCAAAAAATAGTCGAGTCAATAATCGCAGAACTCGATTCTCGAAAATAAATGTAGCAACATTCGAAAGTACTCGGGAAGAAAATAATATAGTGTAATGTCTTAGTAGTAGGTTTTTTTATAGGAATTTTTTATGTACTGCGGATCGACAGTTTTTAATAAACATAAAACATTAGGCAGCATATAATTTATATACAAAGAAATAATCACACATAGAATCAATCAGCAATATTAATGCTGTTATTGGCGATATCCATCGCTAGAAAACATAATATATGCATTAAAATCCTGTTCATCCATAGTGCAAGTTGATCCTCGTCGATAAACTTGTCTGTAGTTTTCAGTTTATTTGATGTTAAAATGCTAGTACTTACGAATAGTCCTCTATTCATCATCAGGCATGTGTTTTTTTCCTTATAAAATCAAAAACTTGGAGACGATATACTTGTATGTCGACCGAAAGATGTTTTTTGAATATCTGCTATTATTGACGGTTGTGTAAGATCTCGGAACGTGCAAAGACGCAACGCTAAGTTTTTCAAAATTTTATGTGAGAATTTTATTTAAATATTTCTTGTGATGTGTTAAATCCACGTATTCTATTTTACAAGTGTATTCAGTTTTTATGTCATGAACTAAGTATATAGTATATATATACTCGACTCTCTCATCAAATTCGACGTATGAGGGTCAAGCAGATCGGTCCCTAGGAAACCGACAGCCCGATAAAAGCACATGAGATTTGATTATAGTGGTAAAGGCTTCTTGCAGGACCATCCACACTTTTTGAAGGGCCGAATACAGAGACCTGGTGCACTACGTGCCACAAGGTCCCCAAACGACCCTCCGCAGGTTTTGAATTCAGAGTTGTCATTCTCCTAGACCAGTTGCCATCCAAGGCTATAGAACCTTGTCTGTCCTGCTATTTACCCATAGCTGGAGGGAGAAGAAGAGGATTCACACCTTTCCCAAGGGTATTAGCACGTAAGTGAATGCAATGGATTCGACTGGAATTCGAACTCGGCTCTCTGATTCCTCAATCCAAGCCGGCACGGTAGAGTAATAGATAGCGGCTTGGATATATATATATATATATATATATATATATATATATATATATATATATATATATATATATATATATATATATATGTGTGTGTGTGTGTGTGTGTGTGTGTGTGTACGTGCACGTGCGTGTGTGTGTGATGTCGCATTATCATTGAGAAACAGAACAAGTTTTGTTCATTTATTTGACAATTATATATTTACATCCTAAGCGACAGGAAATGGAGATTTTTATAAAACTATGTAGGGAAACACAGGTCATGTAAATGACCCTCAATTTCGTGGGAGTCTTTCTGACATGTATACGTCAAGGTCAGTGAGAATAGCAGGAATTGGCAAATAAAAGTCTTTGAACTCGAAATACTGTTTTGTCGTGTTTCTCCCATAAAGCACTTGCAAAAATAAATTCAAAAATTCGAAAAAGAAGAATTTAACCCCCCTCCCTCCTCCCTCTCTCCCCCCTCTCTCCCTCCTCCCTCTCCCCCTCTCTCTAATTGTGTATGTTGGTTTCCCTCCCCCCCACTTCCTTTTATTTATTTATTTTTTTTTTTTATGAAGGACCGTGGAGATGTTCTCTGTCTCGTCTCTTTTTGTGTGTGTATATATATATATATAAATATGTCTGGGTGCTTATATATTATAATCCGATTGTGTTTGTTTTACGCGTGAGTTTGGGACCCCATTCACAAACTCTTAGGATTAAAATGTATACATATTGTCAAAGGACCGGATATAAAATTAGCTTCTAAATTAACTTCAATGAAGAAATAAATTGAATAACATATATATTTCTTCTTTTCTCCTCAGTAATTTTATATTTGTAAACTTAATAGCGATTAAATTTTGATTTTGAAATTAACAGTTTTTAATTTTAATATTAAATTTTATCATATAATTTAGTAATTTTGGTTAGAATAAATTATTTTTTAATACTACCCATATTTTAAATATTTGAATAGCTATTATAACATGACTTCGTTGTCAAGCTTTTTGAATTTTCCTATACTTGTATTTTGATTGGTCCATCTAGCTTTTGTAACAACATTTTCCCCTTGCGAAGGATCGTTAACTAATTTGAAACTTTTAAAACCATTTATTTTACATTCAACATCATCACTTGATAAGACACCGGGGGTGTTGAAACAAAATGGCTATTTTTGTAGTGATTTTATAACATATTTATGTTATAATTTTTTTTTAAATAAATAATTATATCTGCTCTACTTTGTATTGAGCACTCTTTTAAGAATAGTAATTGTTGGTTATTGGAATTCATTCCGTATATACCAATTATATACTTGGGTATCTATCTATCTATCTATCTATCTATCTATCTATCTATATGAAGAAAAATTTGGAAAAAACAAACCAAAAATCCTTAAATGCAATTATGTTGTTTAAAATGAATGAAATGTCGACGTCTGACGTTTCGGTTTAATAAACCTTCTTCAAGACAATATTCATTAAAAATACAATTCAGTTCAATTTGGCAAAGACGATGGACATAAAAAACAAGTCTTATCCAAAACAGATAACTGAAAATTTTAAAATGATCACCTTTCCGTTTAGCATGCTGATCATTTTTCAGGAGCATACATCATATATATATATATATATATATATATATATATATATATATATAATTATTTATTTAAAAAATATGATTCCAACACGCTACATAAGAGTTCTCATGTTTCAAAACAAGAGCCGAAAACTTCAATATAATTATTTGAATTAAATTGAATTTAAAGTAAGCTCTGTTCCATCTTCAAGCGAAATTTTTTTTGGAATAACTTATTTCTGAAATTTACGTGTTTTAATAGCATATTCATTATTGAAATCAAAATTTCCATGGTAATGGCTAGAGCGATTGTTTAAATAGAAAGGGGTGTAGGGTGTTAATAATTTGTATCAGTATAGAGCTACATTCATAGATGTCAAGTCAGGGTAAGGTGGGGGTGTCTAAATTTAAAAAGGAACATGATTTCGCCTAGTCTGGTTTACGTGTCTATGGAGATTTATTTATTTTTTATTTTATTTTTTTCTGAAAGGGTTTTGTGTATATAAAAAAAAAACTGCCGTAACATTTGTTTTTTTACGACTTCATAAAGGGTTATCTTTTTTTGTAGGGTATTTAAACTATTTATTAGGACTATGGATTTAAAAAATTATTTTATTGCTTTATTGTATTATTTACCTAACCAGTTCTTTTCCTATTTTCTATATATCTTCATATATATATATATATATATATATATATATATATATATATATATATGAAAAGATTACTTAACTTTTAGATATCAATTTCATCCCGACTTCGAAGTTTCTTGGTAAATTTACAATCTTTTAAAGATGTCAATTACAGCATATTAAGCATATTAAACAATAAACAAAAACTAAAAATTCTTGAAGCTATATACATAAAACAGTTGAAACCTAACCTGAACTAAATAAATTATGAAATCTCCACAAATATTCTTTAATGCCTTTAATTGATAACAGAAGCCATTGGTTTATACCAACGGCTTCCCATACTTAATACTTATCTTCGCATATCGTAGCTCCATTCGTAATTCTTGTTGCGTCAGTGAATAATGTTTTTGATTTGGCATGATACACGCCAGAGGTCACCGTGGCTTTTACAGTCGTAGCCGGCTTTCTCAGACGCTTACGAAAAGCTTTCTCAGAAAGAATGAATATATATATATATATATATATATATATATATATATATATATATATATATATATATATATATATATAAAAACTTAAAGAAGAAAAAATTGAAATATTTCATTGTAAGCGGATTTTTATAAAATAAAACACAAATGGCAAATGCTGAGGTCACAAGTGAAACTTAAAGTTTTCTTTTCTTTATTTTGTTCAGGATGTCTTCTTAAAAAATATTTTCCTTGAAGTTCACAGAAAGAGTTGTTAAGAGAATGAACAATGAGGATATTCATTGGGCGTAATTTGAACTTTTGTGCTTGAATCGAATCAGAGGCAGGATATGTCAGGATGGTAATGTTTCGCATCGAGTCGAGAACATAACAGAGGTTTTCATCATCAAAGCCGAAACGGATGGGACTAGCAACTTGTAGCAGTTGTTATGCCTGTTGTTGATATGCAAAACTCGAATGAATGTATGTTAATTATCAGTTTATTTGGCTACGTATAACAATCTATCTATCTATCTATCTATCTATCTATCTATCTATCTATCTATCTATTTCAGTCTGTTCACATATATCTCAGACTATTCATATCTTTCTTTCTTTCTTTCTTTCTTTCTTTCTTAGTTTATATCTATCTATCTATCTATCTATCTATCTATCTATCTATCTATCTATCATAGTCTATTCATATCTATCTATCTATGTATCATAGTCTATTCATATCTATCTATCTATCTATCTATCTATCTATCTATCTATCTATCTATCTATCTATCTATCTATCTATTTCAGTCTGTTCACATATATCTCAGACTAAGCATATCTTTCTTTCTTAGTTTATATCTATCTATCTATCTATCTATCTATCTATCTATCTATCTATCATAGTCTATTCATATCTATCTATCTATATATCATAGTCTATTCATATCTATCTATTTATCTATCATAGTCTATTCATATCTATCTATCTATCGTAGTCTATTCATATCTATCTATGTAACTTAGACTATTCATATCTATCTATCTATCTATCATAGTCTATTCATATGTATCTATCTATGTATCATAGTCTATTCGTATCTATCTATCTATCTATCTATCTATCTATCGTAGTCTATTCATATCTATCTATCATAGACTATTCATATCTATCTATCTATCTATCTATCTATCTATCTATCTATCTATCTATCGTATTCTATTGATATTTATCGATGTATCATAGACTATTCATATCTATCTATCTTAGTCTATTCATATCTATCTATCTATCGTAGTCTATTGATATTTATCGATGTATCATAGACTATTCATATCTATCTATCTATCTATCTATCTATCTATCTATCTATCTATCTATCTATCTATCTATCTATCTATCTATCCCTGGAAGGACATAGACAAATAGAAACTAACATCAGTGGAAGGTTCAGTGAGTCATTTACTTTTCAAATCTCTGTCGCGATCCTTTCAGTACAACATAAACCCAGACTTTCTCAAATTCCTGCTCAAGTGGCCTTCTTTAAAATCCACAAACCCTCAAAGCCTCTCTAAACAAACATTAGCAATAAAAAAAAAATCTTGTCGGGGATAATGGTTAGCACCTCCGCTTAAAGAAAGGCGAACAAAATAAGACTCTTGACGCTCTGACATATCGAATATCATCAGAGTTCGTAAGGATTGTTTTTAAGCCCGTAATTTTGACACGGATCTGTTTTTGCTTTGGTCTTGAACGATTATTAATCAGTTTGAAATGCAATGTTTCAACCAAAAATAGTTTTTTTTTAATGCTAAACAAACGTAAAAGAATCGCTTGTTTAAATAAATAATAAAACTTGTTTTTTTTTTGTACAGTTTTTTCTTCTTCTTGTCTATAAAACTTGACATATGGCTGTTGGTTATAAATTGTCACATGACACTTCTTTTTTTTTTTAAAATCATTTCACCGCAAGCAAGGTAGCAAAGCCTCGAAGAAGTAAATGTAGACTGTGAAGGAATACGTGAAAAAATCTATGAGTCAAAGAGAACAATAAAAGAATTAAGAAGACAGAAGATAACGATTGACATTGTATTTATATTTTTGAAGTTCAAAGGCAATAAAGCCACTAAGACGCAAGGGGCTTACTGGGTGTTAGAGAATATGAGAAAAAAACTACAATTAAGGAGAGAGGACAATAAAAGAAAAAGAATTAAGAAGACAGAAGATAATGATTGACACTGCACATAAATGTTTGAAGATCAAAGGCAATAAAGCCACTAGGACGCAAGGGGTTGCTGTTAGAGAATATGAGAAAAACTACTATTAAAAGAGAGGACAATAAAAGAACAAGAATTAAGAAGACAGAAGATAATGATTGACATTGCATTTAAATTTTTGAAGATGAAAGGCAATAAAGCCACGAGGACGTAAGGGGTTACTGAGTGTTAGAGAATATGAGAAAAACTATTATTAAGGAGAGAGGACAATAAAAGAACAAGAATTAAGAAGACAGAAGATAATGATTGACAATGCATTTAAATTTTTGAAGATGAAAGGCAATAAAGCCACTAAGACGCAAGTGGTTACTGAGTGTTAGAGAATATGAGAAAAACTACTATTAAGGAGAGAGGAGAATAAAAGAACAAGGAATTAAGACAGAAGATAGCAATTGACATTGCATTTAAATTTTTGAAGATCAAATTTGACTGTAAATCAGGGAGCCAGAAGAGAGTTCCACATGAGAGAAGTGCGAGAACCAGCACAAAACTGTTACATCTAGTCATTTCAACTGTCAAATGACGAGACATTGCCGCCAATCTAGTACTGCGATTAAATTCAAAAACTCTACGTACCATAGAGGAAAGTAATATTTATTTTGCGAATACAAAATATGACACAAGGCCAAGTGGGGGATAAGGAAGGCTGGTCTTCAATCTGTCTTGTCTTCAACTTAGCTAGCCACAATTACTGACCGAAATATACCACAGTATTCCTTACATCAAAACAAGACACTCTTACTTACCATTCTTACTACAGTCACCATAATACCTCTTGTCTCTATGCAGTCCTAATTGGTCATCGTATGTCTAATCTGTCTGTGTGGGGGTGGAGGGAATTAAAAATCAACATTTAAAATAGAGGAAAATTCATTAGAACAATTACCATGAAAATGTTTATAGAAAATGCCCAGGGAATCTACGTTGCGGCGCTGGGAATGTGACTGAAGCTGAGATGCCAGGTTAGAACCAATAACATTGCAGATTCTTTGGTTTTTATCAAGAATCTCTAAATATATAACAACTACTTTCGATTTTATAATTATTTTTGTATCCATCAAGTGAATTGTTATGATAGGATTTCCCGCCTTCATATATTTCCCGCCTTCATTTATTTCCCGCCTTCATTTATTTCCCGCCTTCATTTAATTATTTTAAAGAAAGCTTGTTCAAACCATTTGTAAAAGATCGAATTAGAAAAAAATTCAAATAATCTTATGAACAATTTGGGAATACCAAGTGCTATAGGCTTGGATGTGCGGGTGGTGTAATGGTTAATGGCTTGGAATTGTTAATCGGAGAGCCGAGTTCCAATTCCAGTTGGGTTCGTTATATTCATTTACGCACAAATACCCTTGGGAAAGGTAAGAATCCACCTGTTCTCTCCACCAGCTATAGATTAATTAGAAAGCCATGTATCATTAAATCCTTATTATCTCGAAAAGAAAAAATTTAAATCTAAAAATATTTTCTGGCTTAAAATCTAAAAATATTTTCTGGCTTATAACATTCAAATATAGATAGATAGGCCGTTAGAAAACAATCAATAAAAACATTAACCTAAGAACTGAAGTCATGTTCTTAAATAGCTTAGATCGTTAAATCCATCGACCTACTTTAGTCTGAATTTATTAGATGAATCATTGTCATTATTAATTTTTTACTAGTCTTTTTTAATCTTATTTGCGTGTTGACAGCTAATAGTAGTCGACATAATAGTCGTAAGTTATTTGAAAATCTAGGAAAGCATCACCGTTATTATTAATGTTTGATTAGTCTTTCTCTCATCTTATTTAAGTTTTCGTCAACAACTAACAGTAGTCGATGTAATAGTCGTACTTTTCTTGCCTGTCCCAGAAAAGTATCGCTATTATTATTAATATTTGATTAGGTTTCCTTTCATCTTATTTCAGTTACTTGTTGACGCTTAATTGTAGTCGAAATAATAGTCGTAAGTTGTTTGAATGTCTGAGAAAGGCATCATCAGTATTATTAATATTTGATTAGGTTTTCTTTCATTTCAGATGCTTGTTTACGTCTAATATAGGGTGTTTCATTAAGACGGATCAAAGTCAGCAGTAAATAAATCAGTGTTATTGGTGAAAATATATTTATTTCTCTATTAGATCATGTTATTTAACTCATGGCAACTATGTGTGAAAATAATATCGTCCAAATTTCTGCCAAGGCTTCGGCGGCACACCTTCACTCGATGATCAAAATTTTTGATGACGTCTCTGCATAGTTGCTCCTCGATCTCACCAATATGCCTTATTATCTCATCCTTCAGCTGTTGAATTGTTGTTGGCTTGTTGGCATAGACATTACTTTTGAGATGACGCCAAAGGAAGAAGTCTAAAGGCGTCGAGTCGCACGATCGTAGTGGCCAGTTGAGTTCCCTGTTTCGAGAGATGATGCGACCTGGGAACTTCTCTTTCAAATTCTGTTTCAACGTCCATTTTCATAATAGGCTTTAACACGTTGTTTAATTGTTAATCTTTCCATGGTTGAAATTGCCAAAGACAAGTTGTTAAATCTGAAAGAAAAAGAAAAAATCATTGGACGCTTAAACTTAATTCACATTTAAAATCGGTCCAAGTTATTTGAACATCCTTTAAAATGATAGTAGGTCATATCCTTGCGGTTTATGTAACAAGCTAGTTTTTAAGTGAATACATTGTTAGTCTAGTGGACCAGGGTGTGTCTTTCGTCTGGCTCTTACCCCACAGAATGTTGAGCTTGGTTGAACCTGCTCATGGCCAAAACCCTCACCTACATAGTTCTGATGGCCGTTGAAGCACTACTGCTACTGTACTGATGCGGCATTCACCCTGGGCGGATTGAGCCGGCTTCTTCCTGTTATGAGAAGAAGATTCTTGGAATAAATTACAGAAGTAGGGTACCCAGGCCTACTCGGATAACGTTCTTGCTTGCCGCGGGGTTCCCAGAGACGCAGAGACAGGAACGACCAGAAGCCGCCGGTTACCGATGCAGACGCTCCTTGGATTTTCACCAGAGCCCTTGTTAGCCGGCGTGTGTGTCAGACCTGTCCGCCTTGGATGGCCCTACCAGGAACGAAGTTCCGGGCGGCATAGCTCTGACACTACCGTTTACACCCCCCCACACCGACTGTGAGGTAAGGGTTGGATTTTGGGGGCTTACAGTACCAGGTGTTCCCAAGCGGTCCCCCATCTAAGTACTGACCTGGCTCTACGATGCTTAACTTCGGTGATCGAACGAGAACCGGTGTTTCAGCGTGATTTAACCGTAAGCACGCAAGCCGTCGTACTACGTAAAGGCGACACGCCATCAACACCAAAATCAAGTCGGTCCCACTTTAAGGCTAAGAAACCTGGCGATCGAGATTAACAGGATGTAGGGAATGAAGACTGAGACTGTACCAATAGTAACAAGAACACCACCCACAAACCTCAGGCACTTACCAACCGATGTCTCAGGAATTATTATCTCATCCTTCAGCTGTTGAATTGTTGTTGGCTTGTTGGCATAGACATTACATTTGAGATGACCTCAAAGGAAGAAATCTAAAAGCGTCAAGTCGTACAATCATGGTGGCCAATAGACTTCGCTGTTTCGAGAGATGATACGACCTGGGAATTTCTCATTCAATAAACATTTGAACGTCCATTTTCATAATAAGCTTCGATAACTTTAACACGTTGTTTGATTGTTAATCTTTCCAGGTTTTAAATTGCCAAAGACTTACGCTGTTAAATCTGAAAGAAAAAGAAAAAATCATTGGACGCTTGAATTGTCATTTAATTGATAGCCCTTTTCTTAGTATTCAGGAGTCGGCAAGCTACGGCACGCGTGCCACACACACCAAGCAATTTCCAATGGCATGCCGTCGCAAATGACATCACGTAGTCCGAACCAATAACTACTACAACACAAAGAAGATATTTAACTATTTCAATTTTAATATATACTAAAGTATATATACTTTATATTACTATATAAAATATATTGTAGAACAGGTATATTGACGTATGCTGTTGGCACACTGAAGGATTTTAAAACCTTAAATTGGCACATAATTAGCAAAAGGTTGCCGACCCCTAGTATAAGGGGGTTTCTTAGTAGGGCTATCTTCTGGGAAACTTGTATGTTGATGTTACCTGGGCCACTGTTAGTAAAATTGTCCATTCCTTTTCTCACGCGGCCCAGTGTTCCGAATACTACTGGTACAGTCTCAGTCTTCATTCCCCACATCCTGTTAATCTCGATCTCCAGGTCCTTGTATTTGGACAATTTCTCGATAATTTTCATGGAGATGT